TAACGAGTGTCGGCTATCCTCGGCTAACTACCGTAACCCTGCGATTTGGCTTACTAACTTAAATTTTATTGCTTAAATTAAACTAATTATTACAATTTGAGTCTCGTTTTGCCCACTAGATACCTACAACGGTGCATTGTAGTGCCAATGCACTACACTGATGCTGGAGCTGAGACAGCGACTCGCTGCGGAGTGAAGAAAAATATTTATTTGTCTCGTATTTCCCCTTAATATATTTGGAATATGTTTTAAGGATGATTACATGAATATTTAGGTCATATTAGGAGAGATATGTTGTGTTTAGAGTCTAGAAGTAGAGTGTGCACCTAGCTAGGTAGACCTAGTGTAGCATGGTCTGCCTGCAGTTAGCGAAGGGGCCTTCACTTGGGCTTGACATATTGCGTGTAAGCAAATGCAAAAATAAGCAAATGCTCACGCGTGCATATAAGGTATTCAGAGGTAAAGCATGCAGCAAAGAACGCTTCATTGAAGCTTCCTTGTGTGCACGCGTGAGAACGGCTTGTATTACCAGCCACTGCGAGGTGCGCTGCAACGCCATTTCACGCTGCCTCCTCCCCGCAACACCCAGCCCCTGATCTCAACGCCCATGACGCCCGAGAACAAGGAAATGATGTCAGCTGTCTTGGGGAAACCCTTACTTTAAGTCTTTACCTGCATTGCAGCCCGTCTCTGTCCTTGATTACGACCAGACATCCAGCGTTATAGTGATACAAGCCAGCCTCACTCGCACACACAAGGAAGCGTCAACGAACCTTCCTTTACTGCGTGCTTCACCTCTGAATACACTCATAGAGCATGTGTATTAGCTTACATGCAACCTACCTGTGCTAACTGCAGACAGACGATGCTACAGACCACGCTACACTGTAGGTACCTAGGGTACATACGTAATAACAGCAGAGTCCACTGTTCATTACAATTTGGGACTGTTCCGGGGATTATTACTTCTCTTCTTTATCTAGTTAACCCGTCCATACGAATCCATGGATCTCGGAAAT